GTTGAGGATATTGGCTTCCGGTCTCCTTGATGGCTCGGGATTATAAGTACTCCAGCTACCATGCTGCAGACCAGCGCTTAAGTTACCGGGAAGAGCGTAACGCCGAGTCGTCTCGAGATCCATATCGTTAGCCTTAGCCGGAGAGTCATAGTCAAAGAACGGGTGCATCGCCTGGACCTCTCCCGCATAAGCTTCCATGCGGCGCGCAGTCTCCCTGCTCTTAATGTAGCCCCATACCATCGGCGCCATATCGCGTTCGTCGTTCATGAATCCCGGGTCAAAGTCCGGAGTCTCGTAAGGATCGGCCGACTTGATATGCACAAATCCTCGAGAGAAAGGATACTCGAGGAAATGAAACATGGTAAAGAATTTTCCGGCTGGAAGCAGCATATGGTCTCCGAACCAACCTGCGATGACAGAATAGTGCATCACCGGCTTATCCGGCTTGTTCTTGAAATATGACTTCCAGCCCTCGTTAAAATGTGGCGTGGGCCAGGACTCGAATTCCTTAAGTTCCTCTTCCGTTGGGCGAATCTTCACGCCGGCTTCGATGCCATTAGTAGAAAGTGGACCGGTTCCCTTCGCCGCCCATTCGTCATATACCGCTGGAAACGTATTAGCATATAAACTGTTAGCATGATGTAATATAGGTGTCTTACCCTTCTGCACTTCAGGTACTCCCCGAACGAAATCATCGAAGCTCTCGGTCTCGGGCTTTGCGCGGTATACGGAAAAGGTCAGATAGTGGTCTTGGAAATTGAGTCCCACGCCGGGAAGATTGACGATGGGCTCAACGCCGGCTTTCTTTAGCTTCTCGGGGTCGCCTATCGAATTGTCAATGATAAGAACTTTACGGATTCAAATACAGAAGCGTACCGATTCCGGATCGTTGGAGAATGAGCGGAGAAGAAAGTGTGCCTCCAGAAACGACGATTTGCTTCCGAGCCCTAAAGGTGCGAGTCTTGAGTTGGCTAGGGTGAAGCGGCTTAGTTGGTCTCGATGCGAATTAGCACTTTTGTCTCAAATTTTCGAAATTCTAAGAGGCATACACTGTTTGAACGGCTACGGCCCTACCGTTCTCGATGATAATCTTATCTACTTTGGTATTGCAAGCTAGATAAAGATTGTCATGAACGGCACGAGTCGAGTGGACGTATGCGTGGGCGCTGTCGCTACGCCGGCCGGTCTACGGTAAACGAACAGTCAGTCGCGAATCAAGTTCGAATAGAGTCAAAGGGTCATACATCACGATTGATCCATTTTAGCCAATGTTCAGCGCCGTGGCCGGTACTTAAATCTTCCAAGTCATCGACGACGGGGATACCTTGGGATTCTGCGGCCCTGAGGAAGTCATCCTTTATGGGATACGTGCTCGAATCTGTCAGTTTTGAAATCTTTCGAGCTCAAGCTCCAAATGCTAACTTACTAATTACCGAATGAGACCTTGATTGGCCCTTCGAATCCATGGAGATCCCTTTTTCTTATCAGTATATTCCTATCTTCTAGAATTCGTATCGCTTACTTGTTATGACAAGCTCGCTGATAGGTCTCGTGTTTCTTCATCAGCGGGAGTAACTCTTTGGTTGTCCACCCCTTGGCCTGGAAGTCGTCGTAGTCGCTAGCTGAAGCGCGTGTGTACATCTATAAAGTTTTAGCGGCAAGTGGCTTTTCCTGGGAGTATTCTACGTACTAAGAAGTTAATACTGGAACCGCCTCCCAATACGTGGGCGCATGGTACCACCGCTTTTCTACCGGAGAGCCACTTTGACGGACGAGACTCGTAGAAGGATGCCGTCTTCGAGTCCAACTTCATGTTACGGGGGTAAACCCCAGGCCTGAAAATCCATGGGTTGTTGAGGTTGCTCTCGCCAGCCTCGATTAGAAGAACCTTGAGGTTATGGTCTAGATTTGCTAGACTATACAAAATGAGCATATCAATAACACTCTTTTACGCATAGAGCTGTAGAGAGAAATAACGTACCGACCAGCAACTACACATCCACAACTCCCACCGCCGCATACGATAATATCGAATTCCTCTGGTAGGGGACTCATGTCTGCTTGTTGTTTCTGATCCCGGCCGAAAATTTTGGAGAACATGTTGTGCGACTTGTGCTGGAGGGTGACGGGTGCGTTCTTATGCTTTCTCGAAAGCCGGGGCGAACGCGATCCAGATATCCTTGAGGAGAGGGGGAACCCCTGCACTTGAATGATTCCTTTTGGAGCTGCCAACAACCCCTTCGTATGCCATGCGCCTTAAGCTTTTAATCAAGCTATATCCTCCGACAAGTTCCCCTTTCCCCCGGAATACTGCTCGCCATGTTTGCCAACTCATTCTTCGTAGAGGTCATCTGATATTTCGTGATGTAACATCTCTGCATGGGGTCCCAATCGTAGAGAGAAATTGGTCGGACAGAAGGGACATACAATCCAAAGGGAGCGCTCGCCGACAGTGCGGAAAGGGTCACATTCGTCCAAGAAGGAAGCAACCTGGTCCTAGTTAACTCTATAGGCCTCCGAGATACCTTGCATCGGGTCTCCTATTTCGAACTATCCACGTCACCTCTCCAACTTCGTATATAGCGGTTAGATGGGAAGAGTTTAAATTGACGTATAGGAGAATTTTAAGATTTGATGTTGCCTACTAGAGGCCAGCGGCATCTCGGTGAGGCTCGGAGAGTTGGCCTTCACAGCCTTGTGGTCGTCCTACCCCCCCTGCCTCTTTGCTCGACTAGGAAATTTTGCATATATCTGCATATTCATTGGCCACTAGAAGATGCAGTTCGTATGCAAGACGAACGTATAATGCGGGGTGAAGGTTACCGTGAGGTCAAATACCCGACAATCTGTTATGCGCCCCATGGTTCCCCGCAGTTTCTTTGATATTATAGTTCGTTTTACTTCGTTAGGTCTATCCGGAGAGAGCACCTTGCATGAATAGTTTGCACCAATAGCCACCCTGCCGTACCTTAGCGTTCGATGCTGATGCTGTAGCTGACCAACATTAATACGCGTTTGTAGGGTTGACGGGTTCTTGACTTCAGCTTGGCCAGTGCTTCCTATTAGCTCCCGAGTCATGACATTCCCCCAACAGACAGTGACGAGTACAGTAGGTCAATCTAGGATTAATAACCCCCATTCACATGGTCTTGTGCCGGGCGAGCCGAGAGATTACTTCGACGTTGATCGAGGCAAATTCAACCGGCAACGAATAGCTAAGCACCTTCGCTGCCACGACGTCGAACTGCCGATTCAACTTATCACTGGACGATCCTGCCTGTATTACTTTGGATGCAGAACCTATCTTCTCGTTGCATTCGATTGCTGCACGTCGACGAGGGGAAATTGGAGAAAATCACATCTCACGCTGCAACAAATAACCCGTGATTTTTCCTTTGGCCAATTCGAACAACGTGCCCTCCACCACTCGAGCTCGAAAGCCAATATAGGGCCCCGGTTGTTGTTACACACGGCTTCACGCACTCAAGCCGGAGTTATATGGCGAACCTATGAAAAGAAAAGATAGTCCGGGTATATGTGAGATGCCCTCGTTGCCTATAGCTATAGATCGTCATTATGATGAACGTACGTAATCCTTTCACGACATCTAGCAGGTCTTGACCCCCTTACGTTGTCTACTTCATAATATATAAGGCTATAGAATATACGGATACTCGCATAGTTCGGCGGTGCCGAGACTAAGAATTACTCCCACAGACCCCTTACTATTATATGTGTATTGAAAACTATTAGAGAAAACTAAATTGGCACTATGAAATAAACAACGCCAGGCGCAGTGTAAGAGGTAGGTAACAGATATGGTTCGCCCTACGATGTGAATGAGACGGTAGCTTGCATATCGAGTTAACCAATCGGTATAGTATTAGAAATTAGCCCCCACGCCCAGCTGGATTTCTTGCCGTGACTATATCAGTAGTTGATAGATCCGTCTGTGTCTCGAACTTGCCCAGACGCATACGCATGTGTGATAGCTACGCCTTTCGTTTATAGTAATGTATGACAACTATCCTACCAATAGAGTAGCCAAATTTTGTCTCCTTCCTAAATAATAGTACATACATCCGCGTTAGGTCTGGGTAGGATGGTGCACAACTGATATTCGGGATGATAGCAACCTTGTAAAGGGCTGTGCGGTGACATAATATCTTGGAGGCTATGCAACTGCCGTTACACTTTGCTTTAATCCGATGCACACATTTTTCTTCGTCCCATGGAGTAGGTCCAAATGCGTATTACACCGGGATCTGGACCTTACCCTCCCCGGGGATTTATCATATTTGTTTCTTATTCGCTAGATGAATCCAATCCAGGAATCAAAAGTCCAGGTATCCTTCTTGTATAGACCGTGCATTTGCGTAGGAGAAAGCTCGGGATTGAATATAAGTCACATTGCCAGCAATAGATGGATTACTATCCTGAATCGATGATAATACATATGAATTACCTAGTTGAAGTTATAGTGCCTAGCCAGGACAAAGATGGCTAAGATGTGATGATATATCCGGTCGTTTGAACTGGTTTAGGGATGGTTAATGTGAATGGTAAACGTGACCAGTCGATTTATATTGTGCAAGTATTGGATTAATTGATCAGGCACGCCCTTCCTGAGGACATAACTACTTTCATCTATGGGTATATACCCTATAGGAACTTTGTATGCATCACTTATTGGTCCGTAGCTAAGCGTAAGGCTGACCCAAGAGACCCAATCTTGATTCGATACGAATAGATTCGACGGAATATATGACTGCAAGCAGTATACTTATAGGATTATTGAAATCACGTAAACATATATGAAATCATTAAGTTTATCTTATTAGTATACAGATTTCCTCAATCAGGATATGAATATGGGAAGTGCTCTTCGTGCCATCTGGAATAACAAGAAGGTTAATAGTGGTTCGTAGCAAACAAAATTTTCATCCACAAGCATCTAGATCTCCTGGCTTGTTCTAGGAAGTGGGCCAATTTCACGATATGCCCGTCTAGCTCACCGGTAGAGCGCCTCACTAGTATCATTTCTGAGAAACTAAACTCATTACGAGTTATGAATTCAAGGGGTAATACGTGGTAATGAGGAGGCAACAGGTTCGACTCCTGTGATGGGCAATCTTTTTGGGTTTTTGATATATCCTATTACCGTGATGCTTCTTATTTTGAATTATTCAACTACTATTTTTCTCTTTCTTCAATATATACACTTGATAGGTAAGAGGGCCGTGAGGTCGGTGGCATTTGTCAATAATCCTTTTTTTTTTGTTTTTTCCTCGCACAAAAGTAACAACAGGAATCGGAGTAATTTTTTCATCTATTGAGGTGAAGTAGATGAAGCTGAGCACAAATTCCGCTTAAGGCTCTTGTCCAATCAGAAATTCGGACGAAGTTACAGCTAAGTGGTCGACGCACACTCACACATACGGACGCACGCAAATTTACTACTCATACCCTAATAAAAAGCACCAATTCATCAAGGCAAGATGGCCGAGTTGGTTATGGCGTGAGGTTAAGGTCACCTTAATTCCTACATCCTCATGGAGCAATCCGCGTGGGTTCAAGTCCCACTCTTGTCACTTCTTTTTTACATTTTTTTGAACTTTTGTTCATTCACTAATTTTTTTTTCTTCCGTCTTCTCTTCCTCTAACTTTTAGGATCTTTAACCCCTCACCCTGTCAATTAAATTTTTTATTCTATCCCACTTAATTTTACGCACGGTCCATGTCACCCAGTATCGATCCGTCTTAGGGTTTAGACCGTGTGGAGAATTTATTGACGAGTTTGTTCTTGCAGCTACGTAGCGAAAACAAAGGGCATCTCTACATAAGGGATGAAAATTCTTTGGTTCATTCACGCCCACAAATCGCTAACGATCTTTAGACTAAGCGGATATAGTTACAAATAACAAAGAAAAATTCCACGTCCGCCGCCCGGCTAGCTCAATGGCAGAGCGCTGAACTTCTATCATGGCTTTAATTATATGTCCTCGTGAATTCAGAGGCTGGGGGTTCGAGTCCCCCGTTGGGCTTTTATTTATTTTTGGACGGACGATGAACTCTCGAGCACCTAGATAGTCAATCTAGTTTTTTTACTTTTATAAACTTCCAACTCAACTAATTCAACAATGCAACTACGTCTAAGTAATCCACTTATATCTCAAACAGCAACTTGACTTATTCGGTCAACATTTCTACGGGCGTAAGACTTTCCCTTTTTTGATGACAGGTCACTATCAAGCCTTTTTTTTTTTTTTTTTTTTTATAAATGGATACGTATGTTATTGCTAAATGCGAACCTCTATACGATACCCTTGATCTATGCATAGCTCGAATTCAAATGTGAATAGACTCTTTAGTGAGCTATGCGTCTGTAAAAATCGCCCATCATCTCCCTCATTATATCTCCTTCATTTAATTCTGCTAGGTTCACTATGAAGGTTAATATATGATGCAATAGTTCACCTCTTAGTGGCATTTCTAGATCCGAAGCCTCTATCGAAACAGTTTCGTACCTTAAAGCTTCCCTAGGGAGTCCGGACCTTACGACCTTATAGAACTTCAGCTTTTCGTTCATGGGATTACCAATAAGCTTCTCGTGTAAAAACTTGATCAGATTGATATTTAAGGAGCCTTCGAATGTGATAGATTCAAGTTTTTTGAATGATAAGATGCTCCGAACGATCCTGTTGAAGGTTGTTAGAAGAGTTTCACCTTGGAACTCTTCGGTATACGTAAAATTTGGGGGATCGTGATTGATTTTGATTCTTATTTGACGGATATTAGGAGCCATCCAACAAAGGGCGTAGAAACAGGACACCAGGTTATGAGCGTATCCGGCGCCACGCGTATATGATATATCCAGCGAGCGAAGTCGAGAAGGGATCAACATGCCATCACTTTGAAAATTGACATAGTCGCATCGTAGATGCTGATCTAGATGGGTAGTAAGTTTTGCGTTGGAAGCGTAGAGTATACCGCGTACTTCGTTGTATACTCGCTTACAGGTCTTGTGAAGGCTAGTCAAGTTAGAGAGCGCCGCTGTGATTTCCCGAGGGTTGATGGGATCTCTGCAGTTGTAGCTTGGGGACGAATTAATGCGGTAATACTCATAGATGGCGTTGCGAATTTCGCCCGGGAAGCGCGAAAAGAATGGGGACTGGGATTGATCATGTATAGCGGTAGACATGATGGACGTGGTTGAGCAGAAAATATTCCGTGGAGATTCCGGGTGTCGTAGAATATTGCGATGTTGGAAAGGCAAGAGCGCAAGGCCTTGAGCGAGACTACTGGCGAATATATACTCAACTACATATTTATGCTAGCTCAGTTCTCTACCTATATTGACGATGTTCATGTACAACGTCTTTGTGATGTATTGGAATTATTCCAAGAGGATAATTACATTGTTGATGAATAATGTAATGTCCTTGTCCAACGTTGGTTGTTATTTTTGGTGAACCTATAGTGGGAAAAGACTGGGAATTCTAGGTACATGAATGCTAATTTGTTCCCTGGACTGTTAAGGTTTGCCCCACGCTGCCCCGCCTATGCGTGTATATTTCCGAACAGGGCAGGAGCCTTAGGTCAAACATCAGGGGTCTTTTTTAAGGCTTGGTCATCATCCTTCAGGTAATTCAGCCTCAGCTGTCAATCACTTGCTGCTTCCTTCAACTTTCCTTCCCTAATTGCACGTTCCCTTCTTCACTAAATCTTAAAGAACAACCGTTCGCGATCGCACCCAATCGAGCGAGAAATCAGTCACCTTTCATCAATCTAGTAAAAACATGGGAAAGCCGGATCATAAGAAAGCCGACGATGTCGTCTCGTTGCATACCAACCCTGGCGAGAGTTCCAGATTGACCTACAGCGACGACCACGATCTCGACATTCCCGAAGTTGTCGTCGATGACCTGCCGCCGAATTATTCCGAGAGCGAATCGTTGCTCCCGCCGCCCGATGTCGAAACGGCTATTCCCGGCGACGGCTTGGCCATCGTCCAGAGGCCATTCGTCGAAGATGCCATGACATTCAACGACCTAAATACTGGCGCGCAATATTGGATGGCAAAGAGCCTCGAAGACCCAGCTAATCTCGAGAAGCACATTCGACACCTCGCTGCGATACCCCCTCGACCTTACATTAGGCTTGTCGGAACGCATACCGAGACTACTAGAGACAGCAAGGGCAAGATGGATAAGGACAGAATTACCGACTTTGACATTTCGGTAGAATTGACGCCGTACCTCTACTCTGATGCGCAGTATCGCCGCTCATGGAATTATGTCCGGACCGTGGAGAATGCTGAGAAAACCTATCGCGGCACTATACTCAAAAAGCGCGCCCCCGGTTCGAACCAGAGCATCGAGGTCGGCAGCACCCCGAAACCCACGTTGCAGGAGTGGTGCCATCGGTACTCTGCTAGTCACGCAGGCTTAAAGGTCTTTGCGCTGCAACGAAGGATAGTCGGCTTTGACGAGGAAGGCGTTAAGAGCAACCTGAGAGAGTTGGTATATCGCACAAACTACCGCGGCCATCTTAGAGTAGAGCTCGTGACGAAGGATTCTCTGATCGAGTGTTACAACGAGTCAAAGATAAACAAGTGGCGCTTGACGAAGTGGATACGGATGCTGTTCATGTTCACATTTCTATTTATCTTTACCTGGCCATACTTGTGGCTGCGAACCAAGAGATGGGAGGTCGTCGTTTCCGAGTGGCCGTTCTCGAGAATAGCTGATGACGGCACCAAGCAGTACGTCAGCGTCAGCGAGGATCAGTGGTTTAATATGTGGGGGCGGGCGATATACAAGGCGGTGCTGCGGAAACGACAGGGAGTGTTGGACCAGACGGATCTGAGACGAGCTCAAGAGCCTGAACCTACTTTCGAGTCCGAAAACGTGGCAATCAACGGCGCGGCGAATCTGTTTAGGGCAGGCATCAGTGCTATGGATGAAGTGAATCGGCAGTTGGGATGGGGAGGGGATTGTTAGAATCATTCTCTTAGAGCGCGTTGTCGTCTCAGTTGTTCACGGGCATTCTTTACTTATGGGGGCATATTTTTGGGATTCGGGTTTCTATTAAGCCGCGCAGCTTTATGGATGAAGGTTACGACTATCAGTGTTATTCTTGGAGCGAGATGTGTAAGAATATTGGGAAGATGCTGATGCTCTATGCTCTATAAGGTGCGTAACGAATATTGAGGACCATTTTCCTAAAATGGGAATAAACGGGGCTTCTCTCATGTCTCCTATTCCAACTCGTACTGTGTATTACCACTTATTTTCTTATGAGATGCACCGTACTATATTATATTTACAAACTGTACATATTAATAAGACATCATCTTTGGATGTAATGATTTCTAAAGCATGAGAATCGTCGACGTGAATATAAAAGAAGTCCTTTCGCCTCGATGGGCCTCTACGAAGTATCGCACGAGAATCCCCATCTAACAATTGCAATTGCATAGCACTCACTTCGATATGGCACCTATTCGTATCGGCCTTATTGGCCTCTCCTCATCTGCAAAGACCTCTTGGGCTGCCCAGGGTCACTTACCATATCTCTTATCACCCCGAGGCAAATCCCAATATAGTATTGTTGCTCTCCTCAACTCGAGCGTTGCGTCTGCGGAAGCGGCGAGAGAACAATTTTCACTCCCTTCGAACGTGAAAGTTTACGGCAACTCACATGACTTGGCTTCAGATCCGGATGTCGACCTTGTCGTCTGCTGCACGCGAGTTGACACTCATAGCCTAACGACAGGACCGTCAATTCGGGCTGGGAAAGCCGTGTATATAGAGTGGCCTCTCGTGGAGAATTATGAAGAAGCTGTTGCTTTGACGGGCGATAAACGTCTAGACAATAGCATTATTGGACTCCAAGGACGCGTTTCGCCTATCGTCCTTAAGCTCAAAGAGATTCTAAAATCAGGTCAAATAGGTCGGGTATTAAGTAGCGATATTCGCGCCTATGGTAATCTCTTACCTAGGGATTCGCTGCCGGAAGGTCTCTCTTATTTCGCAGACCGGAAGATTGGAGGCAACCCCATTACCATTGCTTACGGACATACCATCGACTACGTTCACGAAGTGCTTGGGGAGTTTGCCTCGTTCCAAAGCCGGATGCAGATACAGCGACCGGTCTTAGAGATTCTTGGGAAAGATGGTACTCAAATTCGCGAAATGGAAAGCGACGTACCGGACTTCTTGGCTGTTCATGGGAAGCTGGCTAAGGGAAAGGCGGATATCGCAGAGAACGCTACGTTATCTTTTACTTATAGAAGTGGACAGCAGTTCAAGGGGACTCCTGGGTTCGTCTGGACAATTAACGGTGAAGCGGGAGAGATCATGGTGACCGCCAATGGCGCATACGTACACTCTGATTCTTATAGGGACCCGATTGAGATCAAGATCCACGATCATGCTTCGGACGAGGTGATCGATGTGGAGTGGGACTGGGAATATTGGCAAAAGGAGCTTCCGTACCGTTCGAGAATCGTGGCGGAATTATATGAGAGATATGCGCATTGGTGGAATAACGGGAGACCGACTGGAAATCTCTCAAAGGAGCGGGATTGGCCTCGACTACACGATGCCGTCGAGAGAATGAAGGAGATGGACGAGATTTTTAAGCAGTATGACGCGCAAAGTATATGAGTGCATCCGTAAGTGTACCTTGGTTTGAGCTGAGTTCTTCCTGTATGTGCAATTACAAATACAGTATCAATTGAACCTGAACGTATTGAACCAACTTGATCTAACTATTGAATGTTTGCTTAACTTTAATTTACGTAACTGACCATTCAAACCGACGATCTCTTCGGGCGCGCATGCCGAATTTATATCTATCTAAAGATAACCTCGGCTGGAAGTTTGCCTTATAAAAATTGGTCCCTTACATTAGTTTGGTTGGGTACTTTAGACAATTCGACAAGGCCGAGTCTCGTAAAGGTAAAGCAAATACCTAGCGCGTATTTGCGTCTTTCTCGGGTATTTCGTCTGCAGCGTACTCGCTTTACTACGGATAGAAA